TTGCCCCCCCCGACCCTCAGGAGAGCCCAGTGAAACAGCCTCCTCCTCTTCCTCTTCCTCCTCCTCCTCCTCCTCCTCAGCTGACCTGTGGAACTGCCTGCCACTTTGCTATGGAGAGGTGGGACAAAGGGAGCTGTGGACCATGAGGAAAACTGTACTCCCGCTCCTCATTCTAGTGTGTCCTCAAGGGTTCCTCCTCAGGGGAGAAAGAAGGCTCACCTGTTGACCACCGGTGCCCCCCAGCCAGCCCTACCTTGCCAGGAGGCATCCAAGTCATTCCCTCATTCTTCCCTCAGTGCCCACAGCCATTAAGAGATTTCGGATACTGGCCTCATTTCCAAAACAGCCAATCACCACTCACTCATTGGGCCTTGCTGCCATCTGATTGGGCCAGGGCCAGAGGGAGGTGGGAAAGAGATTGGGGATTCCTTCTTTCCTCCCTCCCTCCCTTTCCATATATAATATAGGCTTGTGCCATTTGCCCTCCCCTCACGAGAGCCCCAGTGAAGCCATCTCCTCCTCCTCAGCTGACCCATGAAACTGCCTGCCACTTTGCTGGGGGGAGATGGAACAAAGGGAGCTGCAGACTGTGAGGAAAACTGCACCCCTGCTCCCCATTCCGGCATGTCCCCAAGGGCCCCCTCCCTCAAGGGAGGAAGAGGGCTCACCTGTCAACCATCGGTGCCCCCCAGCCAGCCCTACCTTACCAGGAGGCATCCAAGTCACTCCCTCATCCTTCCCTTAACACCCACTGCCTTTAAGAGATTTCAAATTTCTGCCTCGTTTCCAAAGCAACCGATTACTGCTTGCCTGTCAGACCTTGCCGCCAGCCGACTGAGTGCAGGGGACAGAGAGAGGTGGGAAAGAGGTCAGGGATACGCCCATGATGACCACATGACCCGGGCCGACCGTGGTGGCATGACAGTACAGCAGCAGCAACACATTTCCCAAATTTCAATCCCATGGGAGTAATGGGTCCCGGATTTTGGACACATTCTGTAAGTTAGCCCATTTGAGGTACCTTGGTTCAAAAATTTATTTATTTATTTATTTATTTATTTATTTATTTAACTTGTCCCCACCCATCTCCCCACAATG